CCCTCGCCTGCCCCGACTGCGGGCGCCGCTTCCGCCACAGCGCCAAGCTCCTGCAGCACCAGCGCGTCCACGCGCCGAGTGGCCGCGAGGGTCCCGCCCCGGAAGGCTCAGGCCAGGTCCACGCCGGGCAGAGAGCGAGTCAGCTCCAGGACTCGACTTTGCAGGCGCAGGCGCTGGCGTTTTAGCTGCACCAGGCCTTGCCGGGGCGCACAAAGCTGGGCCCAGCGAGGACCCGCTTGCCTGCCGGCGGCCAGCCCCCCAGGGCGCATGACCGCGCGAGGGGTCTCCGGCCGGTCACCGGGACAGCGGACGGCCACCCACTGAAGGCCGCCTGCCCTGCCCAGCCTGCTCCCCCACTTCACTCACCCCAACCCCGCCTCCCCTGCCCACCGCGGCAGCCCTGAGACCAGAGATGGTGCGGAAGAGGCCAGAGAGGGGTCGCGCCGGGCAGTGCCGCCGGACCGCCACCTGAGGGGCCCCGGAGTCTTCGAGCCCGAGTGTCCAGCCTTCTTCCTGGGGTGCTGGTGGACTTTTCCCGTCGCTGCATCCACTCGCCAGCCTGGCGGCAGGGGAGGGCGCCGCAGGGGCCCGAGGCCACCAGCACCCCTGCCGACCCCCCGTTCCCCCATTTGTCCCCCTTGGGCCCTTCAGGCCGGAGTGACGTATGTTCTGGCCACACGATGGGGCGGCAGGGGGTGCCCTGGGCCGGTGGCGGTGCCCCTTCCTCTGGACCTCAGAGCAGCCGCTGAGGACCCCGTCTGGAACCTGCAGCTAAGAGGCTGGAACTCGTGGCAGCGCAGGCAGGTGGTCCCAGGGGTCGCCCGGACCTGCCACTGCGCGGCCGTCGTCAGAAACAAGGAGGCCAGCGAGCTCCCCCGTGGCTGTGGCCCTCTTATTGTCAGACACCTGTGGGCGAAGCCGGTGCCGAGCACACCTGGTCGCGGGCCGCGCAGCACAGCTGACCCTGTGAGAAGCGGGCACCGGGCCTGGCAGTGCCTGCGCCAGGGCCTCCGAGAGGGCACGGGTCAACGCGAGCGTGGCAGAGACGGTCCCGCAGCTGTCAGGAGCAGCCTGCCGGCTGGCCCCCGGCTGAGCACCGGGCCGAGGCTGGACGGCCTCTAGGCCGCACGCCACTGGCCACAGGGGAAGCGGGCCGGCGGCTGGCGGGCGAGCCCGGCCTCCCCGGCAGCGAGCCCGATTACGCCCCAGCCGCCACCCCGCCAGCCAGCCCCCATCCGCAGCCCAGAAGCCTGCGACACCCCACAGCCCTCCCTGGCCTGTTCTGCCCCTTCCAGTGGAATCCGGCTTCTGGCTTCCCCGTGGGCCTCCCAGGGGCTGCGGGACTCCCCAGGGGCACTGCCTCACCCGCCCACCCCGCAGGCCCCTCTGGGCCCTGGCCGGTTTCCCCCACCTGGGAGCTGCAGCCCGAGGGGACAGCCCACACCACCGAGCCCCTCTGCCCTTGAGTGGCCACGAGGCTGGCCGTTCCGGGAGGGCGCCCACCTGACTGCCAAGCCCACAGCCCCCCTTCCGCTTTCCATTCATGATGGCGCCTCACCGGGGGCGGGAGGCCCTGGGGTGGGACCACACACACCAGCACCACCCTCTGGGTCCGGCCCCATCGCAGCCAGACAGGTTGCCGGTCAGTCCCAAGCTGCCAACGGGCAGGCCTCCCTCCCTCCCAGGGCACAGCGGTCGGCGGAGGCTGTGTCCTCAGCCTGCGATGGCCAAGCTGAGCAGCCACTAGGGGCTGCAGCGGGCGGGCAGGCCGGCGGGCTGACCAGGGTCAGCGCGCACCAGAGAGGCGGGAGGCCGGGAAGCGCCCAGAGGCGGACAGCGGGCTTGGGATAGCGCACCCGGGAGAGGGAGGGGGCCAGGGACGGGCCCCGACGCGGACGGGAGGACCGGGGTCAGCGCACATGGGAAAGGAGGGAGATTGGGGGCGCCCCGAGCCGGACAGCGGGCTGGGGACAGCGCACGGGAGGGGGGGCCCAGGGACACGCGCCGACGCGGACGGGGTCGGGGGGGTGAAAGGGTCAACGCACGCCGGGCGGGTGGGGGCCCAGGGAC